CAATTTTTAAAATGGGACTTAGCAACTTTTCTTTCTAAGCTAGCGATGTGTTTTAAGGGCTCCAAATTATCGTTATGTTTGTTGTTTTTGTTCCAGCAAAAGTGACAAATGAAGTTTATTATTTGATGTGTTGAAAATATATTCGAGTTGGAGAAGGTGAATTCGATTCAGTTTGATGTGTCGAGTATTTGCGGATAGATAGCTATTCGTTCTTCCCTCAAAGAGTACGGATGTCGGTGATATGTGGACGGAATGATTTAAGTTATTCCCTAAGTCTTTATGGACGTGAGTAGTTGTCGGAAGTTATTTTATTACTCCTTTATTTCGGATTTATTAACCTCTTAGGATAGTTAAAGTTGATTTATTATTTATATTCCTCCTGTCTGGTTCAAGGTCCTCGTTGAGGTCCAATTTTTTCCACGGCAATGATGAACCCTGGCAATTTGCTTAGTTCCCCTCGACGGTCCCACGTTCAGTCATCTCTAAAATAAAGTTTCCTTTCATTGTAGTGTTTGGAAATGCTTCAAAATCAGTGTAGGCCCAAGTTGCCACAAACCATTCGATTTTTGATGCTAATGTGCTGAAGTCAAGATCCTAGGGCGGGTTTCTCCGGTTCGATCTGGTAATGTACAGTCACCTAATGTGGGATCGCATATAAATTAGCTCGCCAACTCCAGTTCAAGTTAATTTTCATTCAGCAATCGCAAGATTTCTAGCCAAGAAATCGTTCCTTTAGTTGTTTTAGTTCCCTTTGAATGTTTTAAGCGTGGATTTTTCATGGTTTCATATTCTCTCCAATACATTTTGCTGCCGTCGAATTGTTTAATACGCCGCTGTATATCCTCGAGGTGGACGCCAAATCTTATTAGTGAATGATTGCATGCAGTGCGTTGCATATAATTAATGGATAAAACATCCTTTCAGCTTGCAGTAGTCCACTGTCGCTCTGGTAGTTATGGAATGCGTCGTGCGAATTTTCGTGGGCACCCTGAAATTGTGCATATGGGAACTGTGCATACGAAATAATGCATAAGAAAAAAACCGAAATAATGCATACGAAAAAAACCGAAATAATGCATATATGCACAGTTTCGGTTGAAAACCGAAATAATGCATATGAAAAAAGCCGAAATAATGCATATATGCAGTTTCGGTTGAAAACCGCAATAATGCATATTAGAAAAACCGAAATTAAGCATATGCACTGTTTCGTTTGAAAACCTAAATGCATATGAAAAAAACCGAAATAATGCATATATGCACAGTTTCGGTTGAAACCCGAAATAATGCATACGAAAAACCCGAAATAATGCATACAGGCACACTTTCGTTTGAAAACCGAAATAACGCATATGAGAAAAACGAAGTAATGCATACATGCACAGTTTCGGTTCAAAACCGAAATAATGCATATGACAAAAACCGAATTAATGCATACATGCACAGTTCGACTCAAAACCGAAGTAATGCATATGACAAAACCCGAAATAGTGCATACATGAAAACGAACTTCTTTCTGAGTAGGCGGCCTTCGGCCGCGCTTAGAGATTATAACCCTTACTAAGTAGAATTCTCCTTTCTGTGTTGCCGGAAAAGGGGACCGGAAGTATTTTTGCGCAGAACTTCTTTCTGCGTAGGCGGCCTTCGGCCGCGCTTAGGGATTATAACCCTTACTAAGTAGAATTCTCCTTTCTGTGCTGCCGCAAAAGGGGACCGGAAGTATTTTTGCGCAGAACTTTTTCTGCGTAGGCGGCCTTCGGCCGCACTTAAGGATTATAACCCTTACTAAGTAGAATTCTCATTTCTGTGTTGCCGGAAAAGGGGGCCGGAAGTACTTTTGCGCAGAACTTCTTTCTGCGTAGGCGGCCTTCGGCCGCGCTTAGGGATTATAACCCTTACTAAGTAGAATTCTCCTTTCTGTATTGCCGGAAAAGAAGGGCGGACGTATTTTTGCGTAGAATTTTTCTCTTCGTAGGCGGCTTTCAGCCGCGCTTAGGGATTAAAACCCTTACTAAGTAGAAGTAATAATTCATATTAGAAAAAACGAAATTATCCATATGCACACTTTCGTTAGAAAACCGAAATAATGCATATAACAAAAACCGAAATAATGCATGCATGCACAATTTCAGTTCAAAACCGAAATAATGCATATGGCTAAAACCGAAATAAAGCATACATGCACAGTTTCGGATGAAAACCGAAATAATGCATATGTGAAAGACGAAGGTATGCATACATGCACAGTTTCGGTTGAAAACCGAAATAATGCATATAACAAAAACCGAAATAATGCATGCATGCACAGTTTCGGTTGAAAACCGAAATAATGCATGCATGCACAGTTTCGGTTGAAAACCGAAATAATGCATATGAAAAACCCGAAGTAATGCATACATGCAGTTTCGGTTGAAAACCGAAATAATGCATATGAGAAAATACCGAAATTATGCATATGCATACTTTCGTTTTAAAAGCGAAATAATGCATATGAAAAAAAACGAAGTAATGCATACATGCACAGTTTCGGTAAAAACCGAAATAAAGCATACATGCACAGTTTCGGTTGAAACCGAAATAATGTCTAAATGCACAGTTTCCATATGCGCAATTTCGGTGCCCCATTTTCGTGTTGCTTTTCAATTTGTCACAGAAACAAGTACATTTCGTCGATACTTTGATAATACTTATTGACTAGGTTATATGCTTAAGTAAGAGTTTTGTTATAATTAAGAAATTCCTGAAGTTTTTGACTCAATTTGTTTTAATTAAGCAGTATCTGTTAATATTATCACATTTGAATGCGCATTCAAGTTTTTACAAAAAAAAAAAAAGTGTATGTATGTACATTTATATTACACCTTAAGTACATTACTTTTATAATTCTTTTTCTATGCATTATATAACCTACAACTTAAATTTGTGTAACAATTCCACAATTCTTTTGATTTATTTGAGATGTTCATAATTTCTTAAACTAAATTCGCTAAATTCTTAATAATTTTCAAAACCTGAAAGGTCCATATTCATACAAAAAAATCAACAATCACTTTTGCTAACCCTCAAAATATAGAAACTAGTTAAATTTCATACAAATAAATTAATCTACAGCATCAAAATCTACAGTGTCTACTCCTCTTGGACACATGTGCGCGCGCGGTGGAATTTATTTGCATCAATGGCAAGACTTATTTTCACTTTAAGGTGTTGATTTATTCACAAAGCCTCGCGTGTGCTTTTAAAATTGACTGTTTACTTATGGATGCGCTGCTTCGTTTGGTTGACGCAAATGGTTTACAATTATTTTTTAATTTTTTTTTTTGCTGCCCACAGTAGTTTAAAGCTGATTTGTTATTGTTAATATTTTTTGATGGTTTTGATTTGTTTCTCCTCTTCAATTCGTTTGCTAACATCACTACCAGTTACTGTTGCTGTTTTTGTTGTTGTAGTTGTAAGACGCGTTAGTATCACAAAGTTGTGGCAGTGGTAATTTGCGTTGTGTTTAGCATTTCTGTTATACACAACTGTAATGTCGATTTAGTTGTCTTTATTTGACCCTTCTGCTGCGTCTCCACATAAAGGCCGCGTCCCTCTCTCTCTCTCTGTCTTAGCAACTACGTTTGCACCAAAATACTAACCTTTGAGTTTGACGAAGAAGTTGTCGACGACTCCACTTTGCGGCGTTTCGTATCTGTGAAGAAAGTTGTACAAAATTAGCACATAGCAATACAATCAAAGGCTAAAATAAGTTGATAACCTATTTGCGGTCATATCTTACCTTTTTCATATTCAATAACATCCTGACTGCGTCGATGCATGGACGATCCGTTGCTCTCATTCGATACTGAACTTAAATCCCTAGCACGTTCACGCTCTCGGTCCCTCTCACGCTCACGTTCGCGTTCGCGCTCATATTCATGATGCTCATGCTTGTTTTCTACTATCTCAATATGTTCTACAGCTGGTGATTCCAAGCGGTAACGTTCTTCACCACGTCGCTTTTCGCGTTTAGAACGTGTGGAAATTATAGTATTACTGCCACTAGTCACACTGCTACCGACGCCACCACCAACTCCAGCACCACCGCCGGACAGCTCCAATTCATCATTATGACTGCGATGTTCATGCTCACGCTCTCGTTCACGCAACACTCGCAATTCACGCTCACGCTCACGTTCACGTTCGCGTTCCCTTTCACGTTCCTTCTCACGCTCCCTCTCTCTTTGCTCGCGCTCACGATCTTTTTCGCGTTCCCGCTCCCGTTCACGCTCACGCTCGCGTTCGCGTTCACGTGTACGTTCCTCCTTCTTGACGTCCTTCAATGAACGGCTGCTACTACGCCGTTCACTGTGTTCGCTGCGATCGTTGATCACAATTGAAGTGGAGGACCTCGTTTCCAACTCATTGCTTGAAGCAATGCTTGTCACAGGCTCACGATCCATTTTAATGACCTGCTTTGGGGCTTTTTCTTTTTCACGTTTTTCCGCTGTAAATTGTTTGTTATTTTAACCATTCAAATAGTATATAAGTAGCATTCATAAAACTTA